CAGCATGTTTTTCAACTTTTAAAATGAATTTCAAAAATTTAAAATTCATTTTAAAATTCGAAAAAAATCGTGGAAGCTGGATCCGTGTCAAAACGATCTTCATGGTTATGTGCATTTACGCGCAAAATTTGAAAGGGATCGGTCTTTAACGAGACTTTTGGTACACCTGAAGGCATTTAAACTTTTTGGAATTTTGATACCCTCATAACTTCCCAACCGGATGTTGCGCGCGCAAACGGTTTTCTCACCTATGTAGGTATACAATTCTTCTGGCTACAAAATACCATAAAGCAATGCAAAAAAGTGTTTGGGAGCGCGCAACAGCGAAAGTTCCCCTTGATGTACACGAACTTGGTGCTATGTACCGGGCCAAATACCTTAAGAGCACCGTTTTGGTCTTAACGCATGCATCGCTGCAATATGCATAAAACATTGAGAATGAATATTAAAACCAGCGATTTTAAACAAAAACGATGCTCTTAAAGCATCTAAGTAAAGTAAGCACATTGTTTAGAACTTTAGATTCAGCGTTCGAATTTGCGCATCCAGTTTTACTTAATAAAGGATTAGTTGCACTTCATTTCAGACAAATCTCCGAATCAGGACTCAGAACATTTATACGGTGGTTATACGTGAGCATTCAAGAATTCCATGAGGTAAAACGCTTATACAAGCTGCCCGAACATCTGCCATGGCATGATGGCGATGATGAATAGCAGTGGATCCACAATAGTCAGTACGGTTTTTGTGATGTTCCCTATCTTTAGCAGCCAATCAGCTCCGGTATACCCAGCTAAGACGTAGAAAAGATTATTGGGGGTCCAGCACACAAACACACTAACGGTCAGCAGCGTTAAAATACAAAAAGAATGCGCTGATGCCTTATATCGGGCACGCTGAGTACGGCTTTCCACACCCATGCTGACAGTAGTTGCGTCGGTATCGCCCACGGAAAAGGTTACCACGGCGACTCGAACACGCCGGCGAAATTTCAGGCGATTCACGAAAAAGTATGGATACGCGGCAAAAATGAGGATCTCCGGAATGATGTATCATGCGTAACTAATAAAGTTGGCCCATACTGGAACAGCTAGCACGTTTGCCGCACATTGCCGGTTGAGAATCGGTGTCCGATAATACAGGGCGTCCAAAACAATCCCGGGAATCACCATAACATTGATCGCCACAATGGTGGACACGCAGATAGCAACCGCCAGCGAGTGGCTGTGTCGGGCTTTGTACGACAACGGATACGCTATGGCCCAGACGCGGTTCAGGCAAATCAACAAATGCAGCGCTGGTAAGCATGTGGCAGAAACAAGGCGCAGAGTATTATTCACGCCGCAGAAATACCCGGCATTTTTGGAGGGATGAGGTCCTTAATAGCCAGGAACATGGGATTTTGAATTATTGCTTGAATCATATTGGCTAGGGTCAGAGTAAAGATGTAGACTCCAAAGGGTGTGAATAAATTGGGACTGATTCGGTATAAGTGGAGGAGAAATGAGTTTGTCGCTATGGCGGAAAGGGACAAAAATATGCTTATATACTGCACCGAATCCCCTGTTTTTGTAACGAAGTATGGTTCGAGCTGGGTGGCGTTAGTAGAAACATTCGTATTGTTATGAAACATCATCTGCATTTTAAGCTTTGTAACAGTCCACAAGGTAAACAGCCAAAACTGAATTATTTTTGCGCAGATCTGTCTGTTGTTGTGGGCTTGTGCCTGTGAGAACATAACCTTTAGGCTTTAGCTCACAGGATCTTATTGGAATAATTATACATTCGTTCGGATCTTGTTAGTGAGTTAAGATGACTTCCAGGATAATTTACAATCATGTTATACTTTGTGGTGCTGTTTATCGCAGTTCTGCACATTTGATTTCCGGCAAGCACACTGTGAAAGCACCAGAACCTGTTATGTCATAATAAACCGACCGGAAATACGCTGGTCGGCAGGATCATACTGCACGGTTCTATCCGATTTTAAGACGTCAGCAGTACTTTTACAGCATATTGACCGTTGTTTGTCATCGTTTGTCAGCGTTTGCGCGGCCGTGATATAAGATCTTCAAGTAATTATAGTTGTAATTGGAAATTCAAGTCGCATTTAGTTGTTTTCCGACTGGAATGTACTGGACCATATACGAGGATCTTAACTAACTCGGCAATGCATCTTGCTGTGGCTACCATTAAAATAATCATTTCCAGTTGAGCTGGCTATCATTTCCATAAACGGTCGATTCGTTACAAACTTGCCAGCTGGAAAGAGCATATTCTGTATTGATGTCATGAGTTTTCGATTCCAGACTCGTCAAGTCGTAAGATTGTCAAGTCAAGGCAGGCATTGATGGTCATTGTTTCACCATCAAAGCAACACGTTACAGCCGACAAGACCGTGCAACCGATTCCACCACGCTATCCGTGTTTCTCAGCAAGCCCGGTCTGGTACCAACGCGCAACGGCCATAACGCCAGTGTGTACAGCAGACGTGAAAGCGTGCGATAACCCTTGGAGATATTTTGTGATTGACCGAAAACACCGTCAGCACAGCAACAAGCAAGATACTGTTGCTAGTGGCCGTGCTAGCATTGTTCTCGATTGCAGATATCAATGGTCTTGCTTGAAAAAGGGAATGTTTTATTACTTACCCCTGGCAAAAGTCCTGTACCTCGGCCTCGTTCTTAAAATCTTCTGCGAAATGTATCAGTAACAGGAAATGGCGACTTTTGCATGTATTCGAGCCGAAACATCTGATAAAATAACTCTTAAAATAGTTGCAGTACGTGCTACCACAGCCATGTTCTATACGTCAGGTGTGCAACCAAAAATTTATGAAATTGGATTGTACCTCTGCATCACGAAGGACGAGTACGTTTACGAAACCGTTTACAATTTTACGAAACAGTTGTGAGACGGGGATCACTAGCATTCACGTCAGTGGCGCTACGCCTTTGGATTACGTGTCTGTGTTGTGTCTCTTCTGATTGGCTTGAGTTGTGTTCGTGGGCGCGGCATAGCACGTGCTGCACAGCGTTACACACTGTTGAATGAGCTCCACGCTTTACGATCGAGCTGCGCCGATCATTATTGATTTTCGATTGTCGGAATTTTCAATATTATTAAAATTCAGCTATTAGCGGTGCGACGTTTCGTGTTTCCGCGTAGTTCGCTATACTTATCGCATAGCTCACTCCACGGGATAGATTCCGTTTCTGTTTCCGTCTCTGGATCCATTCTGGATCTAGCTTTAGATGGTAGCAGAGCCGACAGTGGTTCTCTGATTTAATTTGTGTCAGGCAAAGTTGGCCTGTTATCCGACGTGTTACCCGCGACCAGTAAGGCACAGGTCTGTCCAACAGCAAAGCGCAACACCACAAGCGGTGCAAGTTCCTCATCGGATTTCCAGCCTTGTTTTCGGTACAGAGTCTTCAGCGAAGACCTGTGCTGTTGCAAGGACTGAGCAAGAGTTCAAGAGTTCAGACGGCAGTGTTCCTCGGTGTAGAGTCTTCAGCGAAGACCTACACTGGTGTCACTGCTACTCGGCAAGGATTCAGCGAATCCTAAGCCGTGGGCCACAAGCGGCGAAGCGCTAAAAGGGGCGCACGGAAAAGACAGATCAGACTCCACCAAACTGGTGTAGAGCGTACAACTACTGTTGCTACGGCACAGCCGGCACAGTAGCCTACCAATAGCGCGAGGCACGCTACGGAACAGCGGCGACGCGGGAGCGGAGTTGGAAGAAGAATTTGGATCATCTGGATCATTTTCCCGTGGAACGTGGAACGGACGGACGGTTAACAGGTAGAAAACCGTTAATAATTACGGGATTGGTTAACTGGTAAAATTCGCAATTTCCATTGGTCCGTACTGAGCTGAGTGTAAAAGTAGGCGGGGTTTTGCACACGGTGCGCACGTCTGGCCGTTGACCGTGACGTCAGGCTGATATAAAATTTAAATGGACTAACGTGATTGGTCAGTTATCTGAGCTGTAATTGGCCGAAATTTGAACTGAATAATTTGAGCTAGCGGACCAATCAGAACAAAGTAAACAACCCGAATGGGGATTTTCCGTTGAACTTGAGCGATAATGCGAAATTCGATTTGAGATGAGATAAGTGAGACGGAAAGTGACCTTTTGAGTTGAGACAAAGGAAAAGTGACCTTTGATCAAAATTGAGCTAGAAAGTGACCATTGATAGAATTGAGCTGGAAATTGACCTTTAACTCGAATTGAGCTGGAAAATGACCTTTTAACATAAATTGTGTCGGAAAGTGACCTTTGAGACCAGAAGCTGACCTTTGACTTTGAAAAGTGACCTTTACCAAAAAGTTGGAATTGACCAAATTGACCTATTTAAGTGACCTTTATGATCCGAAACTGACGAACGGTGACCTTTATCGAAGTGAAATTGAACTAAATAGTGGTACAGCGATATCAGCAGCTGTAAGATTCCATTCGCTAACGTGTGTCGAACTGTAAAAGCTGTTTCGAAGTTTTGTCCGAAAGTGACCTTTTAAGGCAAATCTCTCGAACTTTTTATTACAAAAGTGACCTTTAAACGGGATTCAGTCGAAATTTTTCAATCGAAAAGTGACCTTTACTAAGGACTTAGAAAATTTCGAAGTACGAAGTGACCTTTAGGACAACTGAATAAACCATACAATAACGTGTGTGTGAGAACAATTGACAGAAGCGTCCAAGTTATCCGATCAACATGGACAAAGACCAAGAGGAACCAACATCCAACAGCAGTCAGGGAAGCAAAAGCTCCCGAAGCTCACAGCAAGGTGCACCAAATCCGTACAAAAAGGACTTGTACCCGTACTCACGTCCAGTCGGACATGAGCGGAACACTCGAGCGCCCAAGGCATTCGAGAAGAAGGACTCGCGAGGCTCTGATTGCACTTATCAGAAGGCGCTCGAGGCGGTCGCCAACCAGGAAAGCTCTAGTGACGACCAGAAACACACTCCCGCATCTGCGGCGGAGAGTGAACCGATGAACCAGAAAAAGGTCACCGGGGAGGATAAACCCACAGAAAGGGGGGCGGAACCAGTTGGAGCATCACAGTCGGATGCTACCACCAGCAAGCAGGATAAAAACGTGAACCTGGCTCAAATGGAAATGGAAAAGACAAAGGTCACCGAAGAGGAACTCGTTGAACTGGGACTGGATGACCTTTCGCTGAATGACAAAACGGCAGACGATGACCTTTGGGCAACTCCAATGGTCTCAGATGAATCCAATGAATCATATTTCACGGACGATGAAACGACCATGAATATGTCATTCCAATCCGCAATGAGACAAGCTGACCGTGCAGAAGGGATGACACCTTTCAAAGAGATACCGGAGCACCTCATCGAACGGACAACAACAGGAAAGGTCATCAACGTACGACCACCGTCACCTAACAGTCCCACGTCAACTCTGAAGAGACGCGTGAAGGAGTTGGAAGAAGAACTTGAAGCCAAGGAAGGCCTGGTGACGAAGAGGAAACAGGAATATCAAAACCGGATAGGTTCTCCGGATGCTCGTATCTATGAACTGGAGCAACAACAAGTTGACTTGGAAAGCGCAGCGGATGAATGGAAGATTAAATACGAGCGTCAAAAGGAACTCGCTGAGGAGTACCTGAAAATGGTAGATGACAGAGAAATGGAAGGTCATCTTGCAGTCAGTGACCTTAATGAAAGTATGTCCGAAGAATCAGCTGAAAGATCACGGCACTTAGCCGAAATGAAGGACGAATGTGACCAGTTACGCCAAAAGGTCATCGAAGCCGAGGCAAAGCGGGACGAGTACGCGGCCAACCTTGCGGGGGTCACACAACGATTAACAACGCTGGCAACAGAGACATTCAAACTCAGAAATGACCTGAAGCTACGAGATGAAGCCATCAGCACTCTGCAAACTGAGTCGAAAGGTCATCAGGAACGTGCCGACGAAGCTGAAAGGCTACGTAACGAGATAACTAAAGCGATGCGCGATGCGAGAGACCTTACAGCAAGAGAAGGAGAAAAGTTGAAAGAAGAGATTAAAAAGGCCAACGACGAAAATGAGAAAGTCATCGCAGACATTCAAAAGGTCACAAAGGAAGGACTTAAGTGGCAAAAGGAAGCACGGCGACTGGATACAATGGTTACAGCATTAGAGATGAAGGACAAAGAATGGCAACAACAAATCGCTCAAAAGAACCAAGAAGTCACAAAGCTGAATACTGAACTGCTCGAGATGACAACTACAGCACTGGCGAAAGACGATGAGTTGATTGCAACCAAGAATCAGCTGAAAGCAGCAGCCGAGGAATACAGGACGCTGAAAGCAGCAGCCGAGGAACACATCAGGAAAGTGGAAAATGATACTGAAAAGGTCATTCAAGACAAAACGCTTCAACTGCATCAGCAGATGTCGAAGGTCAACCAAGAGAACCAGAACCTGAAGAATGAGAAAGAACAATCCGATTTAAGGATCAAGCGCCTCGAAGATGAGAATAAAGCTCTTCAAATGTCCAACAAACATAAAGATGAACAGCTCCTACTACACGGAGTCAGAACAGCAACGGTGGAATCGCCCCCGCCCAGTTACAGCAAAGCGCATGAAACGGGCACGGGCAAAAGCTTCCACTTTGACATGCCGCTACGAACCGGTACCGGCAAAGGAAGCGTCAAAAATGAAAGGGACGGTGAAAAGGCTAGAGACGACAACGAACCACCATCAGGAGGTTATCCACACACGAGTCGAGGTGACCCTTCACAATTTCCTCCGCACATCGAAACAAATGTGTTCATCGATGAAGGGCGACGGGACAGACCCCCCAGCCGGCAGGAACGTCCAAGGAAATCCCGTTATGGAAAGGCGAAACGAAATCAAAATGATGATGGAAGTAGCGAAGAAGACGATGACCAGAGAGCAGAAAATACAGCGGTGCAATTGACAAAAGCACTCAATTCGATGGCTCGGAAAACGCCCCTCATGTCCTTGGACGGCAGCCGTGATACTGTCAGTGGCTGGACACGACTGGTGAAGGAAACCCAAAGGACGTACCAGCTCACGGACGACCAAATTATGATCGAGATAGCCAGTGCAGTGAAAGGTCCTGCAAAAACATGGTTTGAAGGAGAAAAGGACATCGCAGCAGAAGATGGAATTGAATACTCAATAACAGAGTGGATGGACAAATTCAAAGACGAATACGGTGATCGAGATGAAGAAGTCTTAGGCTTACGTGAGGCCTATGCAAGGAAATTTGAACTCGGGAAGGAATCGCTTGACCAATACTACCAGGCGATGATGCGCTTCAAGGCAAAAAGAATCATCACTGAGAAGCAAGCAGTCGGCTTCCTAATTGAAGGATGCAGAGGGGATAACGAACTCTACAAGGCATTGCGCATACAGAAGTGCAAGACGCCAACGGACGTGAAGGACTTCTTCCGACATTGGGCAACGGGAGAGGAAAAGTACAAGGCGCCAAAAGGTCAACGTAACCAGGATTACGTGACAATCCGGTCTGGACAAGTCGAAAATGTGCCGCAACAGAGAATGGCAGCTGCGCCGGTCCAGCAGCCGGTTGAATACCGCAGAGAGGCTCCGGTGCAAGAGGTCACCAAAAAAGTGACCTTCATCGACAGTCAGACGGGACAGCCACTTACGTATGCAATGGTAGCTGCGATAGAGGCGGCGGCTCAAGTGAGACCAATACCTCAGAATGTGATTCCACCAGCACCACAGAACGTGGCCCCCATGAATGTCGGGTTACCACAACAGGGAGTGGGTAATGGAAATTTCGGTGGAAACGGATATGGAAATGGTAACTGGAACGGAGGTCAAGGAAACTTCCAGCAGAACCAAGGTCAAGGTCAAGGAAACTTCAGAGGGAACCAACAGCAACAAGGGTCACGAACAGAATTCAAGTTTCAGTTAATTGACGGATGGGTAGCAAACGGAGTGCAGATGTGCCAACACTGCATGTACGGCAATCACCAAACACAAGGATGCAAGTTCGCCAACACACCACCGGACCAGAACCCGAACCTGTTCGCCTTCAACGAGTGGCAACGACTGCGCGGGCTTGGTGGTTGGCGCCTAGCGGTGAATAACGGATATGACCTCATCACCCAATGGTATCAGCACAAAGCAAACTTCCAAAACCAACAAGGGAATGGAAACGGCAACTATGGAAATGGAAATGGCGGTGGCCAGAACGGCGGCTACGGCCGTGGTGGCTTCGGCCGCGGCGGCTTCAGAGGAAGGGGCAGAGGCTTCGGCCGCGGAAATTTTAGAGGAGGCCAGAACAATGGAGGCGGCCAAGGTAACTACCAACAGGGTGGTGGCCAATACAGCAATGGCAACGGACAGAATCTTAACCCGGCAAACGATATCGGACAACAACAAGGAAATGTGCAAGGAAATGTGCAAGGCGTGCAACAAGGTGGGGCGCCGGTTCAGGGAAACGGGCAAGATCAGTAGGCACCGGTGAGCCTACTGATCGACCCGACCCTAAACCACCGGATAAAAAGGGAACGGAAAGGTCACCACTGCAGAATGGTACTGCAGTGAATGTGACCACTGCAACGGCTATACGGATGCCGTCAGCACAAAAGGAAACGGCTAGATGGATGCCGCCACAGCAAAGAGAAACGGCTATATGGATGCCGTCATCGCAAAAAGAGATTGGAACGGTTATAAGGATACCGTCACAGAATCAAAGGTCACCGCAGAATGGTACTGCGAGTGGAAACGTTCAAGAGGACAAAAGGTCACCGCAAAATGGTACTGCGGGTGTTAACGCGCAACGGGACCAAAGGTCACCGCAGAATGGTACTGCGAGTGGAAATTGTCGTGACGGTAGCACGACACTGCAAAAAGTGCAGCAAAACGAAAGGTCACCGTACTGCAGTGAAGAAGTGCTAGCGCAACGACGCGCACAACGGAACGCAAAGATTAAACAGGCGCTGCTGAATTAGAAGAAACCGCAGAACGACACTGCGCAAGAAGAAAACGAGCAGCATGCGAAATTCCGAAAATTTTTGGCAGAAAACGATAAGGCGAATGAGACAAGTTGCGATTGTTACGGGGAGCCAAAGCCAAAGTTTTGAAATTGTTCAGAAGACGAAGAAGAGAAGCTGGCAAGGCAAGAATGGATTAAGCAGAATATCACCGTTAGTAGTAAAGATGAAAGGTCACCTTCCGTTGGAAAAGTTCAAGTGAAAGGTCGCGGAGCAAGTGCGAACGCTAAAGGTCACGGTGAAATTGCCGTGTTAAAAGGTCAAGAAACAGACTTGACACTGCGAACAGCGCAGCAGAAGAATAGGGAACTGGCACAACAGGACTCCGAAGACTCACTTGTTGATGCAGTAACTCTGCAACAGAAGGAAAAGTAGCAAAAAGTGGCCTACAGACCGAATGGCAATCACGGGATGTTGATACCTGTGACGCCGAAAGCAAAGCAGAAAGCGAGAATGTCACAAGAGGACTACTGGGACATGCAACAGTTGCGAACGCAATGTGAAAGAAAGCGACTGGAAGAGTTGGTTTCCGGGAAACCAGCGCAAAAGTCACCGAACTCAGTCCCAGCAGTTGACCCAGCTGAGTATAAGAAGACATTCGCTGACGCGAATTATCGACAAAATGCACCGCCAGAGGACAAACCGCCGAATTATGGAGAAAAAGTCCCCATATAAAAGCTGACAAACGGCGGATTTGTCATGAAGCGCAACGAAAGGTCACAGGACTTAGCGCAAAATGAACAAAAAGGACGGTCAAATGAGATGGCGCAAACGCAACAGAGTAACGCAGTCGAAAGGTCACAGGACTTAGCGCAAAATGAACAAAAAGGACGGTCAAATGAGATGGCGCAAACGCAACAGAGTAACGCAGTCGAAAGGTCACGGGACTTATCACAAGCACTGCAAAAGGATGCAAATGACAAGTCACCAGCCCGAACAGACGGGATGTCTTCGCAAATTGACCCAACGAAAACGAACAATGAAGTATCTGCAAAAGTGATGCAATGGATGACCGAAAAAGGATATGACATGGTTACATACGAAAGGTCACCAGATGAAATGAAAGACAGTGAAGCAGACGAACTGAAGCAAGCCGACCAAATAACAAGCAAAGTCATCGAGAAGCTGCGAGATAAGCGAAATGAAAACCGTAAAGAGGAACTGATCCATCAAACGATAAACGAAGTGACTAAAGGTCACGTGCACAGCACAAAAGCAAATGAGCAAGTGCAAAATGTGGAAAAGGTCACCAGTGGTAAAATGGCTACAGAGAAGCAAACAAATAAAGAAAAGCCGCGAAAATATTACGATGTTCGGACTGACGTTCCACACAGGATTGATAAGTTGAGCGAAATACTGAAAGGTCATAGCACTCCAGCAAAAGGACAGGTGCTTCCCGATATGGATCCGGGACCAGTATCGCTCATCCCTGTGAAATGTAAGATTCATACCTTGAAGATTCAAAATGGAAAGCTACCCAAGAGAATTGAAGCATATACACACGAAGTGAAAGTGGGAGACATAAAGGTCAACGCAATGTTGGACACCGGCGCTGAGACGTCGCTGATCAGCAAACCGTATTGCGAGAAGAATGGACTCCACATGCTCCCATTGCCACCAGATAGACTGGTGAAAATAAACGGAATTAGCGGAACGTCAGGATTCCTGGTGACGCACTACTGTGTAGCGCCAGTGACCTTAAGGAAGAAAACTAGCGAGCATTCATTCTACGTCCGACCGAAGTGTGATGACGTACAGGTGTTGCTGGGATTCGACTTCTTAGAGAAGAAGTTCGTACTAATGGATAACGAAGGCGAAGAAGAGAAAGAAGATGACCCGAAACCGATCGCCAAAGTTCAAGTCGGAAAGGTCACCGAACTCGTAAAACAGACGTGAAATGCTCAAACGGTTAATAAAACGCTAATCCCAGTACCAGAGGCACCGGGAAACGAAAAGAAAAAGTCGGCGCAAAAAGTATTGTCAACATTTGAACAGTTGAAAGTGATCCAGCAGGAGATTGAAAACACATTGAACCGGACAGCACTGACACAAAAGGGAAGAGAAAAGGTCATCCCAGTACCAGAGGCACCTGGAATGACGAGAGTGCAGCAGAACGAGATCAGCCAACGGATAATCCCGGTACCAGAGGCACCGGAGAAGAAAAGCGAAAGCGTAAATGTCAAAAAAGTCGACGAAAAGAAAAAGGAACCACTTGCGCCAGACATGGATGAGGCGATCATATTTCTCCCGGACGGGAGAAGTATGATCGCAGATGACTGTAAGCAAGAAGCCACAGAAAAAGAATGTGTCGAAAAAGTTATCCCAGTACCAGAGGCACTGGGAAAGGAAGACGAAAGGTCACCAGCGACAGCTGAGAACTTGGAACCAGAGCGTACTTCGAACCTTTTCGAACCACACCCTGCTATCAATGACGAAAGGTCACCAACACTCGAAGAGATAGCTGCCACACAGAAAGAAGCGGCAGTCGTAGCGAAACAATCGCTCGTGCCAGGCACGGAGTGGGCAAAGCCTATCCCAGTACCAGAGGCACTGGGAATAAAGACGGCTAAAGTATCGAAGGATAAAAAGAGTGAAAGATTACGAGTTTTGAAACGAATAGCCGAAGAGGAGCAGATGTTCACAAGTGAAATTCGTAACAAGGCGCTCGAACAGTTGAAAGGTCACCGAACACAAAAAGAACCAGAGGTCATCGACATATCCTCTGAGGACAAAAGCGTGACCCAAATTGAATGTGAGGAAGATACTAAAGCACAGGAAGAAGTTAAACCGCGAGCGAGTGAAAGGACACTAACCCCAGATGAACGAGCTAGGAGTTGTCATCACGGCTACTTTGAAGACCCGTGCAGAATACAACCACAATGGGAATGTGCAGAATGTTGCGAAAATGCCTCCCAAGATGACCTTTCAC